GTGATCTATTCTATATTCAACACCCCCCCCCCTCAATTTAAACTCGGTAGATTTTAAATTCGAATGCTAACAATCATAAAATATCTTAATCTAAATTCTAAACTCTAAACATGATATAAGCTTTTAGGGTATTAATTTGTTACATTTGGTTCAACATTTAATTTCTCTCTCAAGTAAATAAATTTTTCTTTACTTAATGATTTTGTCAAAACATCTGCTGTATTTTCAATCGTGCTTCAGGTATCTTAGTACTCTTTTTGCTGCTGTCCATAACTGCTGAGTTGGTTTATCTAAAAATCTAGAAAGATATATAACAGAATATGAAATATCAGGCCTACTTATTGTTGATATAAACTACGCGTCAATTGAACTCGAACACCCCAATTTTTGGTCACTTTTTGAAAGGCTATAACTCAAAATCTAGCTGGCCGATTTTGTTCAAATTTTCAGGAGTGAATGGCTGCCCTAATTGCTAATTAATTTCCATTTGCTAACAGATTTCCGTCCACCTGCTGAAAGATACAGGGTGAAACATAAGTTGGCGATTTCTTTACGAAAGTTTGAGTTCACCCCATTCTGCTGGAGGGAGGGTTGAGTGGATTTTTGGCATGCATTGAGTGAATTGAGAAAAACATCCGGAAACTCTTATCAGAACACCCTATATTTTTGTATCACCCTGTATAATATGTTCTAAGCGTGTTTTCACATGCGCCATTCTTGTAGTGTTTGTTTCGAAAAGAAATAATCACGTCAATAGCTATATTTTACATAAAATCGTATAGCTCATGATAAAATCGTAGTCGGCTGCGATATTCAAAAAATCTCAAAAACGTCTCGAGGTACTAAGGTACTCTTCTGAACTGCATACCAAAAATCTACTTAACCCTCGCTACAGCAGAATGGGATAAACCCAAACTTTCGCACAAAAATCGCCAACTTATGTTTCACCCTGTATCTTTTAGCAGGTGGCCGGAAATCTGTTACGAACTGGAAATTAAATAGCAATTAGAGCATCCTTTCACTCCTGAAAATTTGAAAAAAATCGGCCTCCTAGATTTTGAGTTATGGTCTTACAAAAAGTGACCAAAAATTGGGGTGTTCGAGTTCGATTGACGCGTAGTTTATATAGCAATGATCCAATGAGCTCTCTATATGGAATGTTGTTTAATATTTCATCATCTTCTACTTGAAAGTTTGCCTCCATAGGTGGTGCAGCGATTTTACATTCTTGCATGTTGAATTTGTTTACCATCTTATCTATCAAACTTGTTTGATTGATATAGATACTTTTATTTATGTTTTTTATTTCCATTCCTAGAAAATTTTCCATTGAACCAAGATTTTTTGCAGAAAATTCTTTCTCTAGTTCTTTCACTATTGTGTCACTTCCAGGTCCAGTCACAAGAATGTCATCCACCCATAATATCAACCACACATCTTGTCCAAAATATAGACAAAGTCATTTCCTGATCGTGTTAGATTGTTCTTTTTTGCAAACCTATCAAATCTTTCATTCCATATCTTTGGAGCTTCTCTAAGTCCGTACAAAGCTTTTTTAAAAAGTAAACAATCAAATTTTCCTTGAATTACGACCCCTTCTGGTATGTCCAGTTGTGTTGTATAGCATGAACCATGAGCATCTTTATAGTGGGGTATCTAGCTACTGGGGCATAAACATTGTAGTGCAATTCTTCCTGATATCCTTTTGCTACCAACCTTGCTTTTTGCAATCCATTTTGTTTTGTTGTAAATATCCAGCGTGTATCAATAGCCTTTCTCCCTTCAGGTAACTTTGCTGGCTCCCACGTTCCATATTTTTCATGAGCTTGGAGCTCGTTTTTTATTGCCTCATTCCAGTCATTTCCAGCTTGAACTGCTTCAGTATAGTTTCGGGGTTCTTCTCCTTCTGTAATAAAACAATATGCTTGATATAATTCAAAGTCGTTGTACTTTTCTGGGATTCTGGTTCTTCTTCTATTGGGTCGTTCTTCTTCTTCATCGTCATCTTTAATTGGTGTGTCTTCATTATAATTGTTTTCATTTCCTGTCTTTTCTTCTATTAAAGTGTGTTTTCCATCTCTCTTTCATGTTCTTTATCATCATCTCTATATTCTATGTTAGTCTCATCAAACGTTATATCTCGGGATATTATAATTTCATCATTTACTGGATTCCATAATATATAACCATTTCTGCCATATCGTATCATTCTTGCTGGCATTGCTCTTGATTCTAGTTTATCTCCTGAATTTGGAATCTTTAATATCCATGCCTTAGAACCAAAAACTATTAGTTTACTTAAATCAATTTTACCATAGTAAACATTTGTTGGTACATCACCCTTTAATGCATTTGTTGGGGATCTGTTAAGCTGGTATTCTGCTGTATGTATGGCTTCTCCTCATAAATGTCTTGGTAAATTGGTCTCTGCAAACATAGTTCTCACCTTGTCCAATAATGTCCTATTCGCCCTTTCACTAACGCCATTTTGCTGAGCTGTGTATGGTAACTAGTTCTGCTGAAAATTCCCCACCGTTGTCACATCTAATTCTAGAACATCTAAAACCTTTTGCCTGTAGTTCTCTAACATGATTCATCAAATTGAACTGAGCTTCATTCTTTTTCTGTAATAAATAGATTGTTGTGAAGTGTGAAAAATAATCAATTATTACTTGATAATATTTTTCATTTTTACTTGTAGGCGTTCTCACAGGACCTCCAATGTCAGTGTGTAAAAACTCCCCAATTCTTCTTGACCTTGGTAATTTTGTTTCTCAAATGGCTGTCTTGTTGCTTTCCCTTCTCTACATGGACCACATACTGTCTCAGGTGTTGGCAGATTGAGTTTCTTCATATATTCTTCTGATATATGTCCAAGCCTCCTATGCCATAATTCTGCTGAGTTTGATGTATTACTTGACAGATTACAAACTTTATCTGAGAGTCTAAATACTGCAACATACAAATTTTTTACTGACATGCAATGAACGGATACTTTATTTCCCTGTATAATAGCTTTTTTATAGTCAAATATAACTCTATTGCCTTTTTCGTTAATTCTTTTTACTGATAGTAAGTTATTTGTTAGTTGTGGGACAATTAAAGCTGTTAAATGAATATTTACTTTTCCATAGTGTACTTACATCTTACCTTTTCTATTAGCAGTAAGAATATTTCCATTGGCTACTCGAATCTGTACTTTATTTTTTAAGTTTTCAATTTAAAACATAAAATTTGACGTATTTTCTGTGACTAAGTGGTCTGTAGCTCCACTATCTAAAATAAAACTTTCTTGTGATTGCAACTCCTTTTCTTGTACATCCATTGCTTCTAAAACTTCACTAATAAACATCAATTCTTCATTTACATTCTCATTGCTCTCAGTTATATTAGCCTGCCTTGTGGGATGGAACCCTCTTCTTCGATTAAACTGTCCACTTCTGCCTCTTCTTGGATACCTTCCTCGAAATCCTCTATATGTACCTCTAAATGAATCTCCCTCATTATTTACATTTTTTTGTACAGTTTTTAATAAAATGTCCTTGTTCACCACATCCATAACACTTACTTTGTCCTTGTACTCGTCCTTGATACTGTCTCTCTACACTAAATGCACAGTCTTTGTTCACTGCTGTAGTATTATTGTCTTTTTGGGAGTCCTTTAATTTTAATTCAGCATCTAATAATCTGCTTTTTACAAATTCCATAGAAATTCCACTCGTTACAGTTTCTATAGCTGTAATCACATTATTGTATTTCTCAGGCATTGTTAGAAGTAAATAACACACTTTATCTGAGTCACCTAATGTATAGCTCCTGCTGCTTCTAACTCTCTTAGCAACCCTTCTACCTTTGAGAAATGATCTTGCAAATTTTCAGTTGTACATTTCATTTTTAACAATTTTTTCATTATGAATAGCTTAGAAAATGTACTTGTTTTGTTCCAGTTAATTGGGGCAATGGTAACAGAGACATTTTTTTCTTTATTTCTTGACTTCAAAGAAAAACTGTCTCCTAACCTTAAAATCCTTTTTACCACTCTTTCGTTACAATTTCAATTTTTCTTCACTAATCACCAATTTTCTTAAATTTCCCGTAGCCTGGGCCTATAACCTGTTGATAATTGGTGTACTTTTTCTTTAACTATGTGAAGAAAAACAATAAAAACACTTTTTTGTGTAAAAGTTGCAGACTCATCTTTTTTATTCTTAACCTCACTAAAAAAATACATTTTTCAGAGTATCAATTGACAGAACCCATCTAAGCGTTTTTTTATGAACATAACATAAGGTGATCTATTCTATATTCAACACACTAAGTGTCCGCACTGGTAGTCCGCACTATTCTGCAATCGGATTTCACTTTGCAGTCCCCGAATTACATCGCACTTTTGACACCAATTTCACGGCTCTGGGGTGCGTGACAGAAATAATCTTGGATCCGTTTATTCAAAATCAAAGTCCAATAATTAACACAACAATAATTCCACGTTACTATACACTCTGACACTAATTACTTCACTAATTGACTCAATTAACTAAACTCTTTACAACTCTCAATACTCACTATCTAAATCATATCACAGTCAATCTTAAAACCTGAAACTACTAATATCGGCCTTTATATATCTGTATCCATTCTTGTGAAATCCAGAATAAACGCGATACCTACTGTTTTTGCCCGAATAAGGCAGTATTTTCTAGATTTCAAGTTAGATTCTGTACACCATAGCGAAAGCGCACTGTTACAATATAATGTCAAACATCTCCAAACGAATCTATTGAATTAATGTTCGGTAATTCAGATTTCAGGTTTGGTAAATGAAACAAAAATGTTCATTGTTTAGATAGTTACCTTTAGGCTGTGCCTTTAGTGCGTTAAATGAAACACCTCAAAAAGTATTTGATTTAAAAGAGGCATGTGTCCAGTTTTATGAAACTCTAGCACAATTTACCCTATTTGGCCTATTTGTTCTTATCACGGGATGACTTTTATTACAGTCGCAGCATATGGTGAAAATTGCCAAATTAGCGAACAATGCATAGAAACTCTGGGATCTATGGCAAAATGCGACAGAGTGTGTGGATGCGCTGAAGGAACGCAAAGGTATCCATGGGATGGCCGCTGTCATGGTATTACATGTAAGTAAAGCACCGTTTATTTTTTGATAAAAGGATTGAAAAATGAGACACTTTGCGAAGGAACATGAAAAAAGATTTAGTTCTGTTTAGTACATATTCTAGAACTACTAATCTAGTATATCTATCTACACTTTCTGTAGTTGATATAACATGGCTTTTGAACAATGAGAACCAGCAACATGTTGGCTTTCATTTGGCTTTTTTTTTTGATAATCAAAATCATAGGCGTATCCAGGGGGGGGCTTCCGGGCTGCAGCCCCCCCCCAAAGGCAAGTCTAAACTATTTTTTTTTGCGCTCAACAAAAGCATTTAAAAAGAAAAAGCATCGAGCTGCCTTTTCTGAGTGTGAGTGTAATAAAAGTTTGTATTTATTACTGGTTTGTTTGAAATATTTTTTTATGATGCAGCTTATGTGCGTACCTACTTTGTTAAATTTTCCTCAAAATTTCATCTGACTTATGTTCATTTTTTGTAAAGAAAAATAGAAATTAAGTTTATTTCACATACTATACAAGGTCTCCGGAATAACTGGTAGCACATGGGTATTTTGAAAACCATTGAAGATACAGGGTAGACCAAATGAGGAAAAAGTTGCACAATCAAATGCCTACAAATTTTCTTGATTGTATCTCATAATAAACAAGATATAAAGGATTTTGAGAAACGCACTTTTCTCTTTTTTGCCATGTATATCCGTTGCTAGTCCGAGTTCAAAAAAGTTGATAAAATATTATTTGTAGGCATTTGATTGCGCATTTTTTCCCCATTTGGTCTACCTTGTATCTTCAATGGTTTCCAAAATTCACATGTACTTCAAGTTATTCCAAACACCCCTGTATAATAAGGTTTTTCTGTGACTACAGTAGCGGCTCGCCTTATGCAGGAATGGAATCAGTGCTTCACCCTAAACACTTCAAATTTCCGCCATACTTCTTTCCGCAGGAGAGAAAGAGGTCCGTGAACAAAATTTCTCCACCTTACCAAAAAAAAGCAAATAAGTTTAAGTTAACATGTCATACCCGCGGTCCGATGCAAGTATATATTTTTGTTGCCCCGCAAAAAAGAATAGCCGCATATTTGGATATCATATGTACAGGACAGGCGAATTCCTGACAAAAATTGGGCGTGGCTTCGTAGATCCAAATTTTTTTTTCACGCACGGCTCTTTTTTTTTTTTTTGGTGAGCACTTTTTGTTAGCGCAGCCCCCCCAAACCAAAATCCTGGATACGTCTATGATCAAAATCCTTACATTTACGCATCTGGATCAAATCCTAAAATCATGAGTGTAAATTTCAAAAGACCCTATAAACCTTGCGTTCGGTATTTTGCTCAAAGAGCAGAGCGTGCTGAGCGGAGACGTAATCACGTGACCAGCGAGCGAACAGAGCAGTTGAACGCTGAATAAAAGTGTCAGAAATTTTAATAAACGAACGCGAATGAGGCTGCACCGTGTACACTTTTCAAATAAACGAACGGTAAAGTCAAGCTCGGAGAACTCAGACCAAAATAACGAACGCACGGTAGGTAGGCAAGTTTTGATCTATAGAAGCAAACGCTTTTATTTATAAAAAAAAACATTGTTTTAAATTCTATTGTTTTGTACATTCTTGATGTTACTTAAACTTTTTTCTATTTTCCATAGTACTTGATGACTTCTGTAGAACAGACGCCAATTGTGTTCTTGAAGACGGTTCATATGCCTACTGTACAGATGGCCAATGCACATGCAACATTGGTCTAACACCATCTTTGGACAAAAAACATTGTATAATTGTCAGAAATTTGGCTGAAAATTGTACAAACGATGAACAATGTTCTTTTATAGGAAATAGTGTTTGTAGAGAGGTGTGCAGGTGTAGTGTAGGGTTTGTGGTGAATAGGAATAGAACTGCGTGTTTAAAAGGTGAGAAATACCATGTTTGAAAAGAATGGTGATGAATTCCTATGGTTTTTAGCTGCAACTTATTTTTTTGATTCTTGCGAAGAAAACGCTCAATGCTCAGAGTTTCTCACAGATAGCATATGTAATAATGGTAACTGCACATGTCAAAATGATTATCACGGGTATGAAACTAAATGTGTTAAATCTGCAAGAATTGGACAAGCTTGCACAGGTAAATACGTTTCTCTAAACCATTATCAGCCCTAATCCTATATTATTTTAGATACTGCGCAATGTATTCCCAGTCCTCAATTCCAAACTATAGCCGACTGCATAGAAGGCGTCTGTCAGTGTCATCCAGGAGTCCATGACGATAGAATAGGCTGCAATCACGGCATCAAAAATAGTGTTAAAATATTTATATTAGTTTTTTGTATTTATAATTTATTATTTTTGTAGTTAAGTATTTACTTTGACTGAATAACTGTTTTGTGCAACATGAGCTTTTTTATAAATATATGTGGTTAAAACAAATGAAACTAATAGTTATTTATGATATAAGTGTTAAAAGCACATTTTTAAGGCACGCATGTGAAAGTTTGCAGAATGAGCGAAGCGAATTCTGCAATTCACATAAGTGCCTTTAAAAATACTTTTAACACAAATATCATATACAATATTTTTTCTACAAACGGCAATAAAAACCAATAACCACTAACAAATTGGATTTTTAAATGAATAATAAATTGGAAGCATCTTTCCTACATAAAATTCTTGAATTTGACATTTGTCAAAAAATCCATACAACTAGCACCTTGTTTTACAGGTAACGAAATGTTTTGTCAGTTTCTTGAAAGTCTGTCGTGGTCAGATACAGAAGAAACATAGGGTTGCATCGATCCTTCGAAAAATATAGATGAGGCGGCCAATCGGGCTACCTCAGTTGTTCAAATTTCACCATTAATATCAATGTAAATAACTGAAAATACAAACTTGTTTTGACGTCCGCTCTCAAAATTTGATGTTTCACTTTTAACACTAGTGCTATAAAGACTTTATGGCACTAGTGCGATAAAGTAACATTTTTAATGCTTCGGGGCCGAGTTAAAAATTGCATTTTTAACACGTTTGTAGAAAAAATAATTTATCTGTAATACTGGTGAAACAACATATTTTATTAAAAAACATAATAAACTTCTTATTCTTATAACAACTAACATATCAATTAAGTACATGTTTCACAACTTTGGTAGTCAGAAAAAAACGTTCAGGTGACATTTACAAATAACAGAAAAAATAAATAAATACAGTGCACGCAATCAACATCAAATTAAAAGTAAATTAGCTGCAAAAAAACAAATTTTCAATATAATGCTATCACATGCACTTTAAAGTTTTTAATACATTATGCTATAAATATGGCATCTAACTTCCAACTCACAATAATATAATATGTACATTTTTATATACATACATAACTAAATAAATTTGATGAGCTTTGCTCGAGTGAAAAAATTTGCTACAAGAATCTTCCAAGTTCTGGAAGCAAAATAGATTTAACAAGTGTAGTAGTGAGTGACTATTGTGTGTTTCTTGTGAGTAGGTATTTGATATTTTATCCTTTTAGGTGTTGAAGTACAAACTGGTCCAAAATATTGTTAGTACTGCCAACATGATTGGTTGATTCTGATAGAAACTGGATGCAGAATCTGAAAAGAGAGAAAAAGACATCATATAATAATAAATAAAACTCATGAAAAGGGGGTGTAAGTACCTAAGTTTCAGAATAAGTATAAAGAGCGAGAATACACGTTTAGAGTTTGTGCTGGACTCTGGATTTAAGGCTCAACTATGAGTATTTTTTATTGTACTGTGAATCAAGCATTATGTAAGCAAAGATGAAGTGTGCACCACAAATGATTACACAAACATTGTTGATTTTTATGTATGCGGGTTTGTAGATAAGTGAAACTACTCTTCCAAAACTAACTTTATTTAACCACAATCAAGCTTAACTAGTCACAAAACTAAATCCCACGTCACAAAACTAAATGCCAGATTTTCCTTCGAATTCTTCGCGGACATTTGCTATTTCTTTTCGCCTTAACTTTCTCCCTGACAGTTCCCATTTTTTCTTTGACGATTCCTATGTTACATTTGACTTCTTAGATCATTTCTATTTTGCCTTGGACTCCTTGCCGTATATCCTGGAACAATCCCGGCGATCCTATCAATATCTTGCTATCAAGGTTCCCGTTCTTCCTGCATGTCTTTCAGGCGTATGTTTTCTTGTTTTAGCAAAATAGGTAGTCTTCTTGTTCTTGCAAAATGTTCTGGAGTCTCCCTAAATCACAACTCACCTTCTTACTATTGACTCACGTCCGGACATGAAATACTACTGAAATCCCACGCAATCCTATTGAAATCCCACGGTCTCCTACTGAAGTCACACGGAATCCAATGGAATTCCTCGAGAATTTTTAGAAATATTTTGAACGCTAGCAAGCAATAAAGACTCTGGACAAAAAAGTATTGTTTTTCAGTTTAGCCGCCATTACATAGATACAAACTAAAAGCATCAAGCAAACTAAGCACTGTCATTGGATGGAATCCCACAGGATTCACAGGAATCTCACTGGAATCCCACGGAATCCCAAGAGATCCCACGAATTCCCACATGTTTGTACACTATAATTCCAAGGTAGTTTACCCCTGCTCGAGTTTAGGGTCTTTACTGGTAGCACAGATGTCGCATTTTCGGCACCAGTTTTTAACGTCTTCATGATACTGAACTCAGTGAAAACGTTCCCGAATTTTGTCCAAAGTCTTGTTAACTCCAAAATGTGCCCCTGAAGTTCCGTCATGTATTTCTTTCAATACATATTCTACTCGATCTTTTGGAATAACCAGTTGGCTTTTAGTAGATTTTCCATCGGCACTTTCCCAAATTCTTTTCAGTAAACCATTTTCTACGGCCAGAGAGTTCCACTGAGCCCACAACGCCTTGTAAATAAAATTCTTGTTCCACACTTCCCTCCATTCTGGCCTACATTCCTCATTTTCTTTAAGATGTAGAAATTGCCCGATGTCCTAGTCTGCTTCTTGATCTGCTCTCATTTGTTTGGTACTCCAATTATCATCAACGATCCGTACCATTCTTCTCACAGCCGAACCAGTGTTTTTCTCATGCATGTCGATTCTTTGACAATGCTTGCAGTCTTCTCTGCATGGCCGCGTCTAGACAGAACGGCAGCAGTTTTATGCAGGTTGATGTTAAATTTGGAAATCGTTTCGGGAGTTTTCATTTCTAATTTTCTAAAAGCCATTTTAGAGCCGCGGGATCTGTTCGAATTAGAAACTTATGTCCGAGAGATACTCATGGAAATGGTCGACTGCTTTTACTACGGCAAGCAACTCTCTTCTGGTGACACAATAATTTTGTTCCGACTTTGATAAGGTTCTGTTGTAGTACTCTACGACATGGTCTTGTGGAATTGAAAAAGGGCAGCTCCAATACTGGTGTTGCTTGCATCTGTGTCCAATATCAACATGCCTTTCTGATCGGGATAGGACAACACTATGCTTGCACATAATGCTCCTTTTAATTTTCTAAATACATAATCCTAGAAAACTCCTCAGTTCATATTTGTCGCGTGGTTTTGGCCAATCCTTGACAGCATTTATCTTTCCTTCCATAACTTGTATGCCATCTTCACATCCGTAACCTGAGAATTCCACTTACTTTTGAAATAGAAAACACTGATTTGGATTGAGTTTTAAGTTGGCATTCCGGAAGCGGTCAAAAACTTTTTTCAGGTTATTGAGATGTTCTTGGAACGAATTTTCCATGATCATGACATCATCCAAATATACCAGGCAAGTTCTCCATGTAAGGCCTCGCAAAACTAGATGCATCAGTCGCACAAACGTAGCTGGAGCATTACACAATCCCAAAGGCATTACTTTAAACTGGTATAACCCCCGCTTCCGGTACTGAAGGCAGTTTTCTCTTTGTCATTTTTGTGTATCGCCACTTGCCAGTACCCACTCTTAAGATCCAAGGTGAAGCCCGATATATTTGTTAATGTATTGTCTATCCTCGGAAGATGGAAGCTGAAATTCTTCGTAACGTCCTTAAACTTACGATAGTCCACACAAAAGACTTCCATCCTTCTTCGTAACCAATACGACTGGCGCAGACCATGGTCTATTTGACTCTCCAATAATTCCCTCTTGAAGCATTTCATCAATTTGGTTTTCCACTTCCTGTTGTTTAGCTACTGGCATACGTCGAGGTGGTTGTCTAATTGGGTGTGCCAATCCAGTATCAATTTTGTGTTGAACTAAACTGGTCCGCGACGGTCCGCCCGGTTTGATTATCTCTCACAAATACGTCTGCTTCTTTCAAGATGAAATCTGAGGCTTCTTGAAGTCTATCTGGATCGAGGTGTTTCCATAAGTTCCTCAAAGTTTGCATCAATATGTCTGCATCCAATTTCAGTTTCACAAGATGTCGCTTGTCTGGTAGGTCACAGTTCGATATTTGCTTAACTGGTTCGAGAGTTCCAAGCTCTCCTTCTTTTATTTTTACTGTTTCAGAAGAAACATTGGCAATTCTTATCCTAATGTCTCCATTTGTTCTTACTAGAGTCTTTCCAACGAGAAATTTTTGTGGTTTATATCCAATAAAATTATGAGTTAGTCCAACGCAGCACCCAAGGTTTGTTTCCAATTTTCAGCAAGGATCTTAATGGCTTGGGATTCTTCTTGTGTAGTTAGGATAAATTCTTCATTACCAAATTTAAGGATGTTCATAGAAGGATCGAAAGAGAAACCATGTTGGCCGATCAAATTCATTTTCAAATAAAATCATCTTCTATATCGGCGACTAATATTCTGTGCTTAAAGGTGGTAGATCCAAAAGTAAGCTCAACCATAGCTTCTCCTTGAACTGGTGCTGATTCGCCCGTGACTGTTCGTAGTGACAGGTTTCTAGTGAGCGGTTGGATTGCCCGAGACTTGACTAATAGTCCTTGGGGCCAGATCTAAATTTATTATTTATGACCACACCGTCGAACTTTTTTGTATTTGTTATTTGGGTGGAGTCGGACAAATTTGGAGCTTAGCGCATTATGGTAGTGGGGCGTTTGTCTGTTAAGCTGTCACGAAGTTGTCGATTTTATGCAAGAAAAAAAATTATGACCACATTGGTGATTTTATTTTAATCAATAGTTTTTATCACATAAAAAACGAAAAAAAATGTGTCGGACAAAATATTGTGACATTCGACGCGTCGGACACGCTAAATATGTCAAATTTATGGGGGAAAAAAATTATTAGCACACGGCTGATTTGAACAGAATCTGCCATAAAAATATTTTACAATAATGTGGTAACCTTGTCGGACAATTTTCACGCGGCATATGCGTAGACGGATGCGCCAAAGATGTCAATTTCCTGCAACACTTTTATTTACAACCACATATGCAATTTTTATTTTTCACTGTTTCTTCACATGTATAAAGCATATCGGATCAATTGTCGGACAAAAATAATGGGGCTTTTTGATACAATTTGAAAAACAAGTAATTTTTGTTATTTTTCACTACATATTACACATAGGTATATTTATATTTTCTGTGATGTAACTCATGATATATTATGGCATTTTTCGTTAGAAAATTAAATGACAAAATCGGCAATGCCATATTTGTTAAGGCTTTGTTGAAGAAAATGATAAAAAATTATACAGTGGAACATACGACGATGCGTTTTGGAGTTATCATTTGGGAAAAACCTCGTGGGACACCCTGTATATATGCACACACACACACACACAAACACCTATACAGGGTGTCCACTTAGTGCGATATCGGACGATATCTGCTTACAGGTTGATGCAAGAAAAAAAATATTAAATTACAAATTTGTTTGATACTCTAATATGCATTAGTTAAAAATATTTTTGAATATACAGTATATAATATAAATTCAATTTTATTTGAATTTATAAAAATACGTTTAAATTTAATATCTCAAAAACATCAAAATTTAATAGTTATTTATATTATTAGTACGGTATGAGCTTCAGTACAGTAACGAGTGGAGAATATTGCCAAGACGAGGTCGTAGACCGAGTCGTGCTAGTCACATGAGTGGTGTAATGAGCGTTACCGTACAATATTTTATGTACGACCCAGATTTTTTCATATATTCGAAATGGTTTTAATTTTTCACAAAAGATTATATTTATAATTCTTGATAAATGAATTTTAAAAAGTGCCGTTTTTTAATAAAAATGAGTTACGTAATGAGCTCTCATTACATCACTGAGTTCATTACATCACTAAGCACGATAATGCAACTTATTACGTAAATCAAAAAATGAGTTACCTACGTCATAAGCTCTTACAGTATAGGTCGTACATAAAATCTTTTATTAACATACAGGCCAGGTGAACTATGTAACCTTGTAGCTCCAAAATGATGCTCTCCATTATTTTTTTCAGAGTAACTGTATAAGTGTGATACTAGCTTAATTTTGGTTTATTATTTGGAACAGTTCTCGTTACGCAGAACTGCCTGAGCACAAAAAAATAATTAAGAACTGTTCTAATATTAGTTCTGAACTGATTAAGAACAGAAAATACCAAAACACCTCGATAGTTGCTTCTTCAACAAGAACTGAAATAATTTCTCACCCCTAGTAGAAGCAGAAGATAATTGAGACTTATCATCAGACAGTGATTCCGAAGATTCAGTATCTGAAGATGATAATTAAATAATCACAATTTATGTAATAATACTGATAAATTCAATACTATTATTTTCTACCATATTTATTTAATAATAAATAATAGGTATTAATTAATAATATTTTATGTATTTTTCTTTATATGTATATGTTTATATAAGTAAAATGATAAGCATTAACACATAACTCATCCTTATAGTTTAAGAACGTCGATAGCCTATAGGAATTACATTTTTTGTCCGACACTTAGATTTTTTGATTAAGAATATAATTACTTAGACCCTCCTATTGTTGTCGGAAAAATGGTTGTAAATATAAGTGTTGCAGGAAATTGACATCTTTGGCGCATCCGACTGCGCATATGCCCCGTGAAAATTGCCCGACAAGGTTACCACTTTATTTTAAAATATTTTTATGGCAGATTCTGTTCAAATCAGCCGTGTGGTAATAAAAAAAAAATCCCATAAATTTGACATATTTAGCGTGTCCGACGGGTCGAATGCCCCAATATATTAGTCCGACACATTTTTTTTCGTTGTTTATGTGATAAAAACTATCGATTACAATAAAATCACCAATGTGGTCATACATTTTTTTCTTGCATAAAATCGACAACTTCGTGACAGCTTAACAGACAAACGCCCCACTACCATAATGCGCTAAGCTCCAAATTTGTCCGACTTCA